CAGAAGCATGAGAAATAAATGTCTGTTGGATAAGTGCCCAGTTTGTGATGTTCTGTTACAGCAGCCTGAGCAGACTATGACACTATGTGTTTTTTCCAAGAGAAGGGTGTGAATCTTCACCCTATTCTGAGCCACATCTGGGCCGACCGCGAGCAGGGGAGTTTAGCATACGTCATCCCCACGGGTAAGGATTTCTGAGCATGCCTGGTGGGCCTTGATTCCCCTTCTTCCTCCACACTCCAGGCTTTCTCTGTGATGCCTTCATCCTACAGGCAACTCTCCCTCAAAGGAATTATCATGTTTTGCACACCTGTTCTTACCCATCTGCTTCTTTTTTTTTTTTTTTAAAGATTTATTTATTTATTTTTTGGCTGCGTTGGGTCTTCGTTGCTGCACATGGGCTTTCTCTAGTTGTGGCAAGCAGGGGCTACTCTTCATTGCGGTGCACAGGCATCTCATTGTGGTGGCTTCTCTTGTTGTGGAGCATGGGCTCTAGGTGCACGGGCTTCAGTAGTTGCAGCACGTGGGCTCAGTAGTTGTGGCACAAGGGCTTAGTTGCTCTGAGGCATATGGGATCTTCCAGGACCAGGGAATTGAACCTGTGTCCCCTGCATTGGCAGGCGGATTCTTAACCACTGTGCCACCAGGGAAGTCCTACCCATCTACTTCTCATTTAACTTGCTGGCTGCAGGGAAAAGACAAAGTTTCAAATGCTGGGTGGTTCGAGGTGTAAACAATGGCTATCTCCTGCCTCCCTGTTAATTGATGTATCCTCTTGTCTAAAATTTAATAATGGAACCAAAACACAACCAGACTACAAGGAGAGATTTCACAACATTGCACAGCAAGCCCTCTTATCCTTCATCCTTCCTGTTGATGAGAATAATAACAGAGGGAGGCAGAGGCAAGGCGCCGAAGGAAAGATGGAAGACTACCAGGCTACCGAGGAGACTGCTTTTGTTGTTGATGAAGTGAGCAACATTGTAAAAGGAAATGTTGCTCACTTCATAGAAAGTGCCATCGGTGGCAACGCCTATCAGCACAGCAAAGTGAATCAGTGGACCACAAACGTAGTGGAGCAAAGCTTAAGCCAACTCACCAAGCTGGGGAAACCATTTAAATACATTGTGACCTGTGTAATCATGCAGAAGAACGGAGCAGGATTGCACACGGCAAGTTCCTGCTTCTGGAAGAGCTCTACTGATGGGAGCTGCACTGTGCGATGGGAGAACAAGACCATGTACTGTATTGTCAGCGCCTTCGGGCTTTCTATTTGACCGCCTCGTCCAGCCTGTGATCTTTCTCCTTTTGTCCCAACATTTCTCTTCCATCTTCTAACCACCAGCCATCTAGTCAGTGATCACCTGTCTCACTCTCTTTAAGTGTGTTTTTGTGACGCTCTCAAAATGTAGAGAAAAAAACCAAATAACCACACTGTCCTGTGACCTGCACACCCTAAGTCAGAGGAATCATCACTGAAGGTAGTCAGGAGCCTGTCCTGCCACTTGTCTTAACTTTGAATGTTTCTTTTCAAAGGTACTAAAAGCCGAAACCTGCTAGTGTGAAACTTTCTCTACTCTCTGAGATGATTCAAATACACTAATTTTCCATAAAAAACAAAATAAAACAAAACGACTACTGTTTACTGAGTGCTCCTATGTTTCACCTTAGAGCAAAGTATTTTAATGTGCTGTGTCATTTAATTGTAGTAAGTATCCTCTGGGAAATAGGTACCATTAACCCCCATTTATATTATTGTCGGAATCAAGTTTGTGATAAGGTTGGGCAGCAGAGTTCAGTGTCTGAAGAACAAATTACACCCCATTATTTATTCAGTCGTTCAGCAAATATTTACTGAGCATCTACTTTATGCCAAGCAGATCTGCCTATTGTGCCGAGAAAACCAGAGGGGCCCTGGTTGGTCACCTCAAAGGAGAATCTTGGGACAGGACCAGAGTCTTCTGAGATACAGTTTGGATATTTACTCCAAGACAGAGCTCTTAATACCTGGCTGGCATTCAAGTTTGCCTTTAGGGGAGCGGTCTGAGCAGCAGGCTCTGGGGCATACTTGCCCAAGTCTGTCTCGGCTCTTCTACTTTCCTAACTGTGTGGCCTTGGGCAGGGCTCTGCCCCTCTGTGAGCCTCAGTTTATACATCTAAAACGTGCATAATAATGATATCTACACAATAGTCATTGTGAGGATTTAAGTAGCACAGTAAAAACACAAGTACCGTGGACTTAGGAAGTACTTAAAAAACATTAGCTTTTATTGTTAGCTCGCAAATGCCTTATAAAAAGTGTGAAAAACACCCATTACCTATCAGGTTTTGAAAACTGTAGCTCACTGATGACTCTGCTAGATAATTTAGTTGAATTAGCTAAACTGTTTGACTTGTACTGAATTGTTGGTTCTCAGTCATTTGGACTTTGGGAAATTGCTACCAACGATGACCCACACTTGTAAAGTGCTTGATAGTAGACCATCTCCTCCCAGCCATAATTAAGTATAAGAGTAACTGTGAGCTGAACCAACACCCAGTACGTGATTATGGATTATGTACCATCAGCCTGGAGATCATCTTCCCCTCTGTCTTCAGAGGAGGATCTACGTGTGCCTCTCAGTTGTTTGCCAACTTCTGTGAGTGTAAGGCTGCCATTTTAACTCAAACTGTTTTGTAAACTCCATAAACACTATGAAAACAAGCTACATTTATAAGAATAAACAGTGGCATGTGATTATAGATATATATATATATATATAACTGTAAATACTTTTAATTCATACTGTAAACAATGCTTGGCGCCTGAATGAGTTGTGGACCTCTTACAGGAACTCCACGGGCCCAGGCATCCAAGATCCACAAATCTTGAGGCCTGCAGACTTCATCCCAGTGTGGTTACAGGTCATGAGCTGATGTTTATGGAGCATCTGTTACGTGCTAGACATCATCATAGGTCCTTTACAAACATAATGTCATCGAAGCCTGTCTGTCAGCTCTCAGAAGTTGGAGCTATGACAATCCCCATTTTACAGACGAGGCAAAGGTAAGGCTTACCCAGTTAGTAAGTGGTGGATCTGAAGCACTGGTTTGGGTGTGCATCAGGGTAGGCCCAAATTCATCCTGGTGTATGCTGGTTATGGACTGAATGCGTGTCCCCCTCAATATAGGATTAAGAAAGAAATCCTGGGCAAAGTAGAAGTTTAACCTTTAAATCTCTGTTGGCTCTACTCACTGAAAACTGCCCAGAGAGGAGAGGGCCAGGACTACGTTAGTCAGGCCTAGGTTAGTCAGGTCACTTCATGGACTTGCTAACTTGTGTATATCTGGCCCCGAGGAGATGATAAGAGATGCAAGGCCAGGACCCCACCGCTAACCAGGAGGCAGATAGAAACAGGAAGTTGTGCGGCAGCTTTGAAAATGCTGCTGTCCCCACACCTGTCCGCCCCTCCAGACTGAGCCAAGAGTGTCTCTTCTGTTTTCCTCCTTTTCCCTCTTCCACTTTTGTCTATCTGTCTTCTTCCTCCCCCACTACACACCCATCTGTGACTTCTTCAAATTACCCCTTTCCACGCCCTCCTCCTGAGGCTGATGGAATGGCAGGCTTCTTGTGTTTGGCTTGAGTGCCAGTGCTCTGAATGGCTCTGCACCTTTGTTCCCTCTAAGATCCCGGCTCTCCTGACCCGTTAACTGATGTATCCTCTTGTCTGTCTAAAATTTAATAATGGACCCAAAACACAGGTTCCAAGGAGAGATTTCACAGCATCGCACAGCAGCCCAAGATTATAAGGCGAAAATGAGGCATATGTGGTCCTGCTTTCCTCAAGCCCCACCACAAGGCTGTCCTGAAATCTGGCGTCTTCCCTTTAATAGGTCCTGCCTTCCACCGGGGGTGTGTGTGTGTGTGTCTCCAGAAATCAGTGGTGAGCAGCCCAGTTTCTTGTTCTGCCTGTGTGCTCACAAGAAAAACTGGATATTGGATATAGGGGGAAAAGTGGAACGCGAGAGAGAATGGAGAGTAGAAATGGAAGGAAAGAAAGAAGCCAGTGGGAGGGTTGATTGAGGTGCTAGGCCTGAGGATGCCAAAGCTGAAAAACTCAAGGGTTGTCTGGTTGTTAGTCAGTGATGATGTTTATGGAGCTCTCACTGCTAGGCACACAGCTCTCACCATGACCCTCTTCCTGCTCAGACCTCCCTACCTGCCTACACCTCCCTCCCCCAGGCTCCAAAGGGACACCAAGGACTGACTGTCCAGTTCACCTCCTGCTCATCGTGCCTGCTTGGCACAAAGCAGAGCCCAATAAATACATATTTGTTGATCAAATTAACAAATGAAGAAATAAGCAATTGATAACGAAGATGTACCCAGCAAGAACTTTGTGAGTCTTCATTTTCCAGTCTCTAAAATTAAGGAGCTGGACCAAGACAGACACCTGGGTTCCAACCTCACCCCAGTTCTGCACTTACTGAGTGTTTGTGACCTTGGGCAGGTCACTGAAACTCTCTGCACCTCGGTTTCCTCACCTATAAAATAGGGATAATAGTACCCCCTTTGTTTCAAAGATGAACCGATTTAATACTTGCAAATCGCTTAGAACAGAGCCTGGCATATACACAGTACTATGTATGTAAAAAAGTAAATTTCCAGGGTCCCCTCCACCGTGGAGCTCCTCAGGCCTGGCAGGGTGGATGGAAGAGAAGCAGGGAGAATGGCCCAGAAACTGCGGACCCTCGCGCATGCGCACTGAAGTTGGAGGAACAACCTCCCGCAACGCCTCCCAGGACCCATCTACCGGAGGCCGCGGCTCAGCCAGGGGATGACTACGTTACCCACAGTGCATCTCGCGGACTCGCTACGAATCTCGTTTCTATGCCTGACAGTCGGTTCAACCAGTGGTAAGAGGACCCACAATGTGAGTAGTTACCCACAATGGCTCACGTGGACCCGCCCACCCAGGCCCATTCTGACTCTCCACAGCCGGCCAAAGGTGCGAGGACTACATTACCCACAATGCTTCCCGTGGGACGCCCACGCGGCCTCGTCCTCCAGCTCGACGCCGGCTCAGCCAGTGGTCGTCGCCGACTGTCCCGGGTCTGCGTGCTAAGGGTTTTGGTCCTCGCTTCTGGCCCGCCGAGCCTTCCACGCCCGCTCTCCCGCTCCCGTCCCGACCCGCTGCTCCGGGCCTGCCCCGAGCCCCCGCACGGGTCTCAGCGCTGCCGGTAAGTGCGGGCGCGGGCGCAGGGTCCCAGCTCGAGCTTCTGTCCGCGGCCCTCGCCCGCCGGAGCCTAGTTTGTGCCCGGCCTCGGTCACCGCTCTCCCTCCAGCTGAGCGGACGAGACGGGAAAGCAGCCCAGCCGGGGAATCCTGACCCTCCCAAGACCCTGGAGTTGGAGAGGCCTTGGTGACCATCCATTCGGTGGGGCCCGCGGATGGGCTTCAGGCTCCCGAAGCCCGAAATCAGGGGTCAGATTGGGACAGAATCTGCGTCCTCCTGGGCAGAGGGGTCTCTGGTTCTCATCACATTTCCAAACGGACCTCATCCAAAAATGGCCAACTGTAATATTGAAAACTCAGCGTTTGTAGAACTCTGACCGCGTTCCAGGCACTGTGCTAAAATAAACTATTTTCAAACGTCCCGTTTAGTCCTCTCAGCAACCTGAGTGTAGGTGGTGTCACCGTTTTTTCTTTCACATGAGGAACTGAGGCCCAGAGTTTAAGTACTTCTGGGAATTAGAGGTTATTAGCAAAGACAGTTTGATTTACTTTAACCGTTTCTTTCTGCCAGTGAGGGCAAGTTGGCCTTGGGGCCAGGGCAGGGACTTATGGGTTGCAGACGCTTATCCAGCCCCAGTGCTGCACCCTACATGACTTTATTGTCTCTCCACAGAGCCCTGAAAACATCTTCCCCAGTGTCTGGCCAGAGGTATAGGGAGAGACAGGTGTGAGCTCCAGGCCAGAGAAGGAACAAGGCTCACCAGGAGCAATGGCGACCTCTCCCGGCTTCCAGCACCCGCCACCCCTGGAGCAGGATGAGATCCTGATCGTGAAGGTGGAAGAGGACTGCTGCTGGGAAGAGGAGCCCTCCCTGGAGATTGAAGACCCTAGCCCTGAGACCTTCCGCCAGCTCTTCCGTCTTTTCTGCTACCAGGAGGTGGCCGGACCTCGGGAGGCCCTGAGCCGCCTCTGGGAGCTCTGCTGCCGCTGGCTGCGCCCTGAGCTGCGCACCAAGGAGCAGATCCTGGAGCTGCTGGTGCTGGAGCAGTTCCTGACGGTGCTTCCAGGGGAGATCCAGGCCCGGGTGCGGGAGCAGCAGCCAGAGAGCGGTGAGGAGGCCGTAGTCCTCGTGGAAGGGCTGCAGCGGGAGCCCAGGAGACAAAGGCAGCGGGTGAGGTGGGGGGCATTTTAGCCCTGAGGTGAGAAAACGGGGCCCTGCTGCTGAGGTCTGTGTTTGTAGATTTCCTTGGGCTCTGGAGCCGTGGCCAGCCTTGGTCATTGGGAGTACCTGGTGCTGGCCAGACACTGAATTGAAGAAGGCAACTGCAGAGTGTTTCTCAACGTTGGCCGACGTGTGTCCACCCCTTGATTAACCACTATAGCCCCACCAGCCCTTTCTAAGCTATGTGGATTGGTTTGTTAACACCATCCCAACGTAGGCCAGACACAGGTTTTAATGGGAGAGAGGCTGGAGACCTTCAAAGGCAGGGCCTTGGGAGTTGAAGAGATCCCCAAAGAAGGAGGAACACTGGGAAGAAAGACCAGGTGCTGGTGGGTGCCCTGGTTAGAGCCTCCAGGTGTTTCTCAATCTCTCTGGGGCTGCGCCATTCAATACAGTAGCTACTAGCCATGTGTGTTTGTTTTAATTAAAATTAAATAAAATTTAAAATGTAGTTCTTAAGTCACACTGACCACATTCCAAAGGCTCAGTCATCACACATGGCCAGTGGCTACTCCCTGGACAAGGACAGTGCAGATATGGGACACTTCCATCATTCTACAGAGAGTGCCACTCTAGACCAACTCAATTCCTTCTAACCAGATCTGGGGAGTGCGAAGTCTCTTACAGATTTCTCCTGCTTGGGTCAGATTAATTCCTCCTGATTAGATATTTGGCAAATTCTGCAGGTCACCTTTCTCCCTGTGGCAGTGTCATTGGCCACACAGTGCTGTTCTTTTGCATCCGGCACGATAGACCCCCCCCCCAACCCCCCCCGCCCCCCAAAAATCCCAAAAACCCAAAAAACTTGACCATAAGGTGAGTTGAGTGCATTAAGCACATCCTGCCTTCGTGGTGGCCAACAAGAACCCAGGAGCCCTTCTCAGCCCTGCCAGCCTTGGCGTTTGGGGTTCCCGTCATGGCTTTGCTCTGTCACTGGGCACCCTGTAACCTCCAGGGACTGTCTCCTCTCAGAGGTGTGGAATTTTGAGCCTGAGACAGGGTCCCTGGTGCTGGTTTCAGTTCCCTGGAGATGTATCTTGTCCCTAGTACTGTTACAGATGTCAGTAAACTCTGAGACTAAGTTTATCTGATTCACCTTCACTGGAATTAGGAAATAGATAATTCTAGAGGGTCTGTAGATGATTTCAAAAAATGTAGCAAGTGCAGTAACTCAGGCTTCCGAAATGAGACCTGATTTGGGGCCCTTCTGGCCCAGGTTTTTCAGGAGCACTAAGGAAGGAAGGGTGAGAGTGTGACGGTGACAGCAACACAGTGTGATGGGGAGAGACCACAGAGTCTCAAGAGTGGAGCAGGCCTCCCTTTCCCCAGGTTGGGAGCCTGACCTCTTCCTGGGTCACATGCCTTTTCCCTGGGGTCTGGCTGGAGGGAGGTGCTTGGAGGGTCGCAGAGGCCATCAGACACAACGAGGTGGCCCGGTGGTAAGACAGAGCCTGGGAACAGGGTGGCCAGGGTGCCCGAGACAAGGAGGGATGGGGAACCCTGTGGGTTTCCTCCCGACCTTCTGGGAGCTAGTGGGCAGATCTCCATCTGTATGCAGGATCCGGAGGTAGTCCCTGATGACGCACTGGCCCACGGGACAGGGGAGTGGTTCTTAAAATGCCAGGTGGAGGCCCAGCCAGGAGACCTGTCTCTGGAGGAAGGGGCTCAGCCCTCCAGCCAGCAGCCCCCAGCCCAGCTGAGCCACAGACCAAAAAGAGGCCCCCAGCTCTGGCCAAAGACGGGTGAGTGGCTGTCCCTCTTGAGGAAAGAGACGCCCTGCACTGGGGAAGGGAAGGGAAAGGAAAGGAGTGTGGCAGGGGTCAGGCCTGTTTGCCTGTGGGGTGGGCAGGCTCCCGGCCGGGTGAGTGTTGATGGGGAGCAGCTGGACCTGTCCAGCCTTCGCTGCCATGTGCACGGGTGGGTGACTCTCTGCTCTTTCCCCAGGCCCAGCGGCCTCCCAGTGTCAGGAGACGGCGGCACTGGCCACATCCTTCCTTTCAGCCTGGTCCCAGGTGAGTGGCATTCCTGATCTGCAGCATCCCCGTGTGTCCCATGCCCTTGTTACAGGGACACTTCTCTTGCGTGGTCAGGTCTGTGGGTTTCCAAGGCGGATCTTCACCTCCTGGGAAGTCCTACCTGTTCTCAGATGCCACCTGAGTATTAGGTGTGTCCTGGAGGATCCTGGAGTCTCAATGGTGAGTTAGGGCAGTCACTTCAAAGCCAGCTGTATGTTAAAATCTTCTGGCATCTGGGTGAAAATAGATTTTCCCCCAGCCCTGGCCTGGAAGCAGAGTCTCCTTTGCTTGTTTGTTTCAATTGCAGCTTTATTAAGATATAATGCATTTACCATACAATTCTCCCATTTAAAGTATACAGTGTTTAATATATTTACAGAGTTGTGCAGTCATCACCATAATCAAATCAATTTTAGAACGTTTTCATCACCTCCCCAAAATACCCCACACCCATTAGCAGTCACTCCCCCCTCCCCCTCCCTCAGCCCCCTGGCAGTCACCAGTCTTTCTGTCTCTCTGGATTTGCCTCTTGTGGATATTGTTTTCTTGGGTGTTAATCGTGCTCCCAGGTCAGTCTGGTGCTAGATTTGGGAACCACTGGCCTAGAGGCATCCTGAAGTCTCCAGGTCACCCCATTTGGGTCCTGGGGCTGGCTTGAGCTGAGGCAGGGCATGCTAACTCTTGTCCTCAAGGAACGTGGGCCCCAGTGGCTGAGATCTCAGATCCAGCTGTTCCACACAGCACATCTGTCCACACAGTCTCTGGCCCTGCAGCAGTTGGGGCAGAGCTTGGTGGTGACGGTGTCCTCCCAAAGAGCAGGATCCAGCTGTGTCTGAGCCAAGCTTGGAAGGAAGGAGTGGATAACAACATATGGAAAGGGAAAGGTTGGGGAGGGGAGGAAGTAGGGGAGGTAAGCAGGACCTGCCTTCATCCCACAAGTGGAGGGGACGGGTGAGCCCACCAGGCTCTGAGTGAGCTGTGTTCCAGCAGGTGCCGGTGACCTTGGAGGACGTGGCCGTGTACCTGTCCCAGGAGGAGTGGGGTTGCTTGGACCTGGCTCAGCAGGACCACAGCTGCAACATGCTGCAGGAGGATGAGGGTATGTGCAGGGAGACCCTGGCCGTTGTCTGTCAGACACCGGGTTGTGTCTCTGACGTGGGTGAGTGTCAGGGAGGGTGGCTGCTTCCCTCAGGCTGGCTGTGGTATGTGCTGGCCTCCAGGACCTGAGGCCCAGGCCACCTCCCTGCTCAGCACCTTCCCTGGCTCCCCCCGCCTACAGGAGCCACTCCAGCAGGTCTCAAACTTTAGTGGCCAGAGGAATCACCGGGCAACATATTAAAAATAGGAACTTGTGGGCCTTGTGCCCAAGCGTTGCTTTAGTGTGCTGGGGGCATTCCCTGGTGAGTCCTAGTGCTGGGCAGCCCTGCACTGCCAAGGTTGCTAGTGTCCCATCAGTGGCCCATCTGCAGTGGGGGCAGTGTGGCTGCTTGCCCACGTCCCAGGCAGATGCCCAGAGCTGTCCTGAGTTCCTTCTTTCGCTCCTTTACCCACACGGTTGTCCAGTGTCAGTGCAGCCTTTGTGCCGTCCTTGGCCCCCATGGACAGAGCTGCTCTTGGCAGGGCCCTGCCTGTCTACAGCCTCTCCTCACCACCCCACACTGGCCCTTCTCAGCTCATCCTGCCACTTTTGACACGTGTTCACTCCCTGAAATGTTTTTTAAAGGAGTTGAGATCCTGCTTTGTATCAGTTGGGGTTCTCCAGAGGAAAAGAACCCTTAGGATATGTGTGTGTAGAGATATTTATTTTAAGGAATTGGCTTTCACGATTGTGGGGGCTAGCAAGTCTGAAATCCATACAGCAAGCCAGTTGGCTGGAAACCAGGCAGGATTTCTAGGCTGCCTTCTTGAGGCAGAATTCCTTCTTCAGGAAACCTCAAGTTTTCTCTTAAGGCCTTCAACTGATTTGGTGGGGTCCACCCCCCAGTGTGGAGGGTAATCTCTCCTTACAGTCACCTGATTGCAGATGTTAATTACATCTACAAAATAACCTCCACAGCAACATCTAGACTGGTATTTAGGGAATTAATTCCCTGGTGGTCCCATGGTTAGGACTGTATGCTTTTGCTGCTGAGGGTGTGGGTTCAATCACTGGTCAGGGATCTAAGATCCCACAAGCCGTGCAGCATGGTCAAAAAATAAAGGTAAAAAATTGATTGAGGGCTTCCCTGGTGGTGCAGTGGTTAAGAATCTGCCTGCCAATGCAGGAGACACAGGTTTGAGCCCTGGCCTGGGAAGATCCCACATGCCGCGGAGCAGTTAAGCCTGTGTGCCACAACTACTGAGCCTGCACTCTAGAGCCCGTGCTCTGCAACAAGAGAAGTCACCGCAGTGAGAAGCCCACGCACCACAACGAAGAGTAGCCCCCGCTCTCCGCAACTAGAGAAAGCCCGCTCACAGCGACGAAGACCCAGTGCAGCCAAAAAAAAAAAAAGACTGGTATTTAACCAAACAACAACACTGTAGCCTGGCCAGGTTGGCACAGAAAATTAATGATCACATACTTTCTTTTACATCTTCATTTATTCCAAACTAAGTGTCTGTAGAACAAATGAAGATGAAACCTTTCTATTGCCACGAATACTGGCTTGCTGTGTGCACTGTTGCTGTCCCACTGCTCTGTGCTCTGTCCTGCTGTGTGTTGTAACTCTTGGCTACTTCATCTCTGTTGTGATGAAATTCTGACTCCTCGGGGCATCTGGTTTCCCTCCCAGAGCTGGGGAGAGCCTTGGGCCCTGTTTCTCCTCACTTCCTCTCTCTGAGGAAGCAGTCTGCACAGAAGTAGAGCGCCTCCCACCTCTGTTGAGGCATGGAGTTTTTCCCGCAGGTTCTCCTGATGCCCCTTTGCTCTCACGAGGAGGAGGTTGTTGCAGTCTTGTGTTCTGTCCCGGCCACACTCACATCCTCTCTTCTCTTTCCCCATCAGCAGGACTCCCCGCTCCTGGGCCCTGTCTGACTGCCCAGGATGGGCCAGGGCAAGGCCTGCGGGACCCAGCTTGTGCGGCCTCGGGGCTGAGGGAAGTCTCTGGCAGTGCTGGCTCAGGTGAGGGGGTCTGGGAGGAGACGGATGTCCCAGATGAGATTCTCCCTTCTCCTGGGCTTAGACCTCGGTGACTGTGTTTGTGGAGTTCAAGCTCAAGGGCTTAGAGCAAGGGTTGGTAGATTTTTTCTGAAAAGGGCCAGGTAGTAAATAGTTCAGGTTTTATGGGCTGTATGGTCTCCCTGGTGATGCCTCAGCTCTGCTCTCCTGGCACAAAAGCAGCCACAGACAGTATGAAAAGACATGGGCGTGGCCATGAAACTTCATTTACAAAGGCAGGTTCACCCGCCCTGAAGGAAAGGCAAGGGGAGACAGGTGGCTTTAAGAAAGGTTTGGGGCTCGAGCAGCAAGAGAGTCCTACCACCTTGAGCTGGGACATGGCACTGCACGCAGACACCATAGGGAAGCTGGTCCTGAGGGCCACACGAGGGGCTGGGCACGGGGTCCTCAGGACGCCCTGAGTGTCACCAGCCAGCGGCACTCTCTTGGGCCTACACCTGGGGTGGAATTGCTCAGTCACGTGGTCACTGTGTGACCGTTGGAGGAACTGCCAGAATCAGTTCCTTTGTAAAAACTCTTAGCGAAGGCCAGGGAGGTGGTTCCATCCTGTCTCAGTTGTACAGATGAGGTGGATGTGATCTCGAGCCCATGCTTGGCTTCCTGGACAAGCCAGTGTGGAGCTAGGAGGGGGCTGCATGGGGGTGTGGGGTGGACAGCATCTCGGCAGGGACAGTTCCCAGCACTGCGAGGGCCTGTCCTTCCCCCGTCAGGTCAGTGGGCCTCAGCGTCCTCATGTGTAAATGGGACTGTCACAGTACCACCTCACGGCCTTGTGGGTCTGGCCATGGTTCTAGTTCCCAGAATCAGGCTCTGAATGAGGCATCCTGCGGAGGGTGTGGAAGGGGAATTTGAAGGCACTTCTCTGCGTCAAGGGCCGCCCCACCCTGCCTCCCCTTCTCCCTCTCCCCCTCCCCGTGGAGCCCTCAGTGACTGTGCTTTCTCTGTCTCAGAGCTTGGGAGGCAGTTTGAGGACGGAGAGTATGCCAGGGCAGACGCATCGGTGAGAACATGGTGGGGCCAAGCGCTCCCGGGTCTGGGTCAGGGGCCCGGCCCGACCAGACCCCAGCGGCCTCCAGACAGAGAGCGGCCCCTTGGGGTCCGGAAGCCGCACACGTGCCCCGAGTGCGGCAAGGCCTTTAGTAAGACGTCCCACTTGACCAAGCACCAGCGCACGCACACTGGGGAGCGACCCTACCAGTGCCAGGTATGCGGGAAGCGCTTCGGCGACCGCTCCAACTGCAGCACGCACCAGCGGGTGCACACAGGCGAGAAGCCCTACGCCTGCGCCCAGTGTGGGAAGCGCTTCAGCCAGAGCTCCAGCCTGGTCATCCACCGCAGGACACACACCGGGGAGCGGCCCTACGCCTGCAACGAGTGCGGGAAGCGCTTCAACAACAGCTCGCACTTCAGCGCGCACCGCAGGACGCACACAGGTGAGAAGCCCCACACCTGCCCGGCCTGTGGCAGGGGCTTCCGCCGGGGTACCGACCTCCGCAAGCACCAGCGCACACACGGCGGGGAGCAGCCGCTTCACAGACCCCAGAGGCTCCAGGACGCCCCAGGGGCCCGAGCCTGATGATTCGGGAAGCTGCCAGAGTCGCTTCTGTCCCGGAGCCAGAAACTCTGGTCTTCAGGCATCTTCAGACTCCGTTTGCTCCCGTAGGCCCCAGCACGAGGACACGTGGTGGGACATTTGGGGGGCCCAGGCTGAGGGAAGAAGCTGGGCCCTGCAGGTGTATTAGGGTCTGGGGCAGCCACACAGAGGACCACAGCTGGGCCGCTTACAGCAGCAGGAATTCTCTCACAGTTCAGAAGGCCAGAGTCTAAAATCAAGGTGTCTGCAGGGCTGCCTCCTTCCTGCAGCTCTGATGGAGGATCTGTCCCAGGGCGCTCCTGGCTTCTGGTGCTGCCAGCTGTCCTTGGCGCACCTGGGCTTGTGGCCACATCACTCTGCCTCCGCCTCCCCACAGCCTCTTCTGTGTCTCCCTCCATGTGTTGTCTCCTCTTGTAAGGACGCAGTCATTGGATTTAACTGGTTACATCTGCAGAGACCTTGTTTCCAAGTAAGGTCACCTTTTGAGATTCTGAATATGAATTTGGGGGGACACTTTTCTGCCCACTTTGGGGGAAGCCTCAATGGCTATGGTCTCTTGCAGCTTTACGTACCCCAGCCTTATCTGGGCTTGGTCTCCTGTCTTTCCCCCGAACCTTGCTGCACTTTCAAAATGTAGCCTGTTGCGGGGGGGTGGGGGGTGGTTTCCAGTATCACAGTGGTTGTGGGTCACCTTCGCAGAGCCACAGCTGTTCTGTAGGATGGATGGCTTGTGCAGGAACGCTTCCCCGAGATCCCATCTTTCAGCCTCCCCCAGCCCATCAGGAAGTCCCCAGGGTAGAGTGCCAGGGTTGCCTTTGTTCCGGCCCAAGTGGCCGTGTCCCAGGATGCAGGCCGGCCTTGGTTACCCCACTTTGAATTTCTGAGGTGGATGTGCCTCTCTGATCTGTTCACATCCATGGTGTCATAGTGGCTGAGGGGAGCAGTAAGAGGCCTTGTTTCCTTTAGTCATTAGTAAAGTTGTGGGGCAGCTCTGAAACCACTGGGTTCCGGAATGTTCCATTCAATTGCTAGACATATTTTTACCTTTCCACACAACCCAGGTTCCGGGGTGTGTGACCTGCTCTTTGTTCCCTTAATAAACGACGTCAGTCCGTCTGGCCCCTGTGCTCTGTCCTGTGTACTCTCTGGAGAATGGGGCCGCCCAGTTTAGGGATGGTTTTTAACCTTGGGACACGTACTATCCAGCCAGGCCAGTGTCACCAACCACCCGCCTGCCCCTTACAGGCTCACTTCTCACATCCAGGCTGGTGCTGGAGGTGGTTGCCTTCTGCCACCTGCGAGCTGGGCCCATCCAATGCCTGTTCCCTGACATTCTCTCACAGTCCTGTAACAGGTCTTCTTGATTCTCCTGCTCTAGATGGAAACTGAGACCCGAGAGCTTGAAGCACCTTGTCCAGGTGGCAGGACCAGCTTTCAACCCAGGTCCGAGCTCCCACCGCCTCATCCTCCTGGCTTTCCTTGATAGATAGTAATTCGCAGAGTTGAACTTGGAACTAAGTTTATTTTCTGTCACTGTTGGGGAAACATTCTGAGTGAACTTATTGCCATTAAAAGGGGTAGAGAGTGGGTGAAATGGAATTTTAAAAATAGCTTTTGTTCTTGAGGGCTAGTGGCTGCAGTGGAGGCTGTGTGCCATGTTCAGACTGCCTGCCCAGCGGCTGAGTCCTGACCATGCTAGAGTGGAGGGTGGGGGGCCTGCGGTGGGGGAGAGGATCCGGGGGCCCCAGGTGATGGTAGTCTGGCCACAGTCCCTGCCGGAGAGAGGCCTCCCCTGGGCCTCCCGTGACTGCCTCACATCTGGCCTGTAATGCAAATGTCCGTTGTGGGGAATGGGGGCTGCTGGTAAGGCCCCTGTGGCCCCGATCCTGGCTGCACGTGGCTGGCTGAGGCTGGGCAGGGCCTGTCTTACCTGGTGCAGGGCTGGATGGGAAGAGGACCTTGCCCATCCTCAGGGCATAGCAGCCGGCGGTGACCCCAGCTAAATGCTGGAACATGTGCCCAAATGCCAAGGACCCTGCTGGGCTGCCTGATCCCATGGCCTCGGGAGCCTGAGGTGATTGCTGTGTTCTTCCCATTGGCAGACAAAGCAGAGGGGCACTGAGACTCTGAGACCTTGGAAACAAGTTGGAGAGAGAACAGAGGTGCTGCAGATCAGGGCTTCAGCCTGTTGGGAGCAGCTGGGCTGAGAACAACAGTTATGGAAGGACTCTGAAAATCGGGGCCGGGGTTGGGAGGTCGGGGGGATACTTCTAGGAAAGTAGACGGCAGAGCCGCCTGCGGCCCACAGCTCTTGCTGGTTGTCCACGGAGACAGTTTCAGGTGTTAGAACATTCACATTCTATCTGTATTTAAAAGTCCATCCACCTTTACTTTGGAAGCACCCTAAAACATATACGTACATGCCTTTGTGTCTTGGTTGAAGAAAAAAAAAAGCAAATTTCAATCTGCCCGTCTATCAAAAAGTTCATTTGGTCCGTGTGTGTGTGGTGGTTTGTGAATTTAGGAACACAAAAGAGCAAACATCCAGGACTCAGAAAATGAAGCTAAATTTTTCAAGACCTTTTCAATCCTGAAATTCTCCAAAGGAGTTTTAAGTTTTGGAGTTAAAAAGAAATAATAATAATATATGCACATTAAAGAGAAAAAAACGCAGAAATGGAAAAAGGTGAAAAAGCCTCGTGGTCCCACTATCAGAACAAAACCGTTGTCTTCACAGTGTTTCCTTCTGGTCCATTTTCAGAGGATTTGGGGCCATTTGATTTGTCATGCTACGCCTACAAGTTTGCACTGGCATCTTTGCTCTCAGTGCATGAAGATGTTCTGACTGAATTCTAGCAGAGGGCTGGCAGCAGATCCTCAGTTGGAGGGTCCCTGTGCTGCAAAGGCACATTCTGATGGAGACGGGAGAGCAAAGGGACCACCAGGGCCTCGGGTGTCGATGGAAAGTCAGATTATCCATTTATTCACCTCAGATTATTCACCTTTTCAGATCCGTTACTGGAGGCATCTACAATTGGCCCAGAGGAGGCACCAGGGCCTCCCTGGCTGTCCCTGGCCCAAGAGGGTCCCCCAGGGCCCTGGGACTTCCTCCTGGGGGTCTGGCCTGGGCACTCTGTCTCTCAGCCCAGAGTGTTACATGTTGCTTCCCCCCAGGGCTGGATCCAGCCGTATCTCCAGGGGCCTGAGCCTTCTGGCTTCTGGGACCCTTGCCAGCTGGCAGCTTGGGCTGAGCCGATGCCTTCTGAAATGCCCGGAGCTGTTGGAGGAGCTGACTCTTCCCCGTGCAGTCCCTGTGACACAAGAGAAGCAGCCTCCATCAGCACCCAGTGGAGCCAACCTCCCAATACTTTGCCACCGAAACAGGACACAGAGGAAAACCAGAGTGCTTCCGGGGCGTGTGCCTGGTTCTCAAGACACTAAAAAGTCAGGATTGCGGCCTTCCAGCCTTCGCCGTGTCAGCATGTTAAAGGCTTCTGGGAGGAAACCTGTGTGACACTTCTCAACCCAAGTTTGTTTTCCCTCTTTAATCCTATAATGCCTAGCTACACGCCACATTGCGGAAAAGCTGCGTTAGACTCTGACGTTCCCAAAGGATAGGATCTTCAGGCTCTGTAATTCTAAAAACGATGGAGACTGCCAGAGCATATAATGCAAATTCACCCCACAACCACGGGGTGGCCTCCACATGTCAGAGACATGAACCTTCCCTGAATTTGACATTTCACTTAATTGACTCAAGCCTTTCATTTCTGGCCGACAGCCATCACTTTATTCCATCCCTTCACTTTCTCTTCACTTTTATTGCCATCACTAGTAGGGAGCAAATCAAGTCGGGGGGGGGCAATTTTTCAGAAAGAAAACGTAATCCCTTCTCAAGACCGAGCTAAGCATCCTTGGGGATGTCTGGAGAACAGGCCAGGCCAGACATTGCTGGGTTACCCTGCCCGCCTCCCAGACCCGCCCCCCAGACCCGCTCACACCCTCCTGTGCTAGCCCTGTGGGTGCCAGACAGCTGAAAGCACCGATGTTAACATGCGGGCGGGGGCTTGCTGCTGAGGCCAAGGTGAGCATCTCAGGCGGTGGGAGCCCCCTTGTGGTTACCGTAGCCTGGCTGGGCCCTGCTGGTCTCGCCGAGCTGCTGTCTCCTCTTCCCCCTCCTCGCTGTCAGAGGAGCTGGAGCTGGAGCTGGAGCTGCAGCTGCGGGGAGAGGAAAGGTGGGTTCCTCTGACCATAACCAGCCCACTCCAGCCAGGCATGGTTCCCACCAGGGACTTGGAGCACCCGGGTCTCCCTGGTGACCCAGGGCAGGAGGATGGGCAGGCTGGCCAAAGCCCAGCCAGCCAAAACCAAAGGGCCACTGCAAGTGGTGGAGGGACGCAGCCAGGGCCAGGTACCCCAGCCTAGGCTAAGTCTGCTTAGGACTCCGCCAGGAAAAGATAACCCTTGGCCCCAGCTTCCTCCCAACCTGCGGGGAGAGCCTGCTGCTGGGACCCAGTGGGACTGTGGGCCAGGCTCAGTTCTTGGCCAAAAGCACTTCTCAAGTGAGCAGTGCCCCCAGGACCTGCCTGTCCAAGTCCCCCTTCCTCCTGAGGCCAACATGGCAACCTGAAGGAGCAGGTTTGCGGCAGGGCTGTCACTGCTCCCTGTACCTTTCCGAGGGCCCATGGTCTGATGGCTTTGTCGGCCGCAGGTCAATGAAGACGGTAGGAGGCCCTGCTGGGCTCCTTAGCCACGTGTCCATGGCCAGCGCCTGGAAGCCCAGCTCCCTGGAAGCACATCTGGGGTGAGAGGAGCCGGGCGGCTGAGTCACTTCCCGGTGACCACTGTGTGCTCTGCCACTTATGTCCTGGGCAAGGCAACCTCTCTGAGCCTCAGTTTCCCTGTTTGTAAAATGGGGGTAATGGTAGCACCTACCTGATCATATTCTTGAGATAAAAGAGAAATACACATCAAGTGCCCCACCCATAAATCAAGGCCCAATAAATGCTGAGAGAAGCCAATTCTAGAGAGGACAGGGGCCATGCGTGGTCCCACCTGCTTCCGGCCTCCTGTGGCTTGATGTCCTGGGGCATGTCAGAAGGCACCCTCCAGGCAGAGGAAAAGGCTCTGGACTGCATGGCACATAGGAGGGTGAGTTGTTCCATGAGCCTGTCCTGGGTGCTCGGCTTGGCATGGTCTGTGGGGAGGGGGGAGGCAGCTTAGTGGGGATGCAGCCCCCTTTGACTCACAGCAGCCTGAGCCTCAGGACCCCTCGTGTGGACATGCCTGCGCTTGTGCTCGGAGAAGTGCTGGGGGCCAGCGGAGGCCCAGCCCACCCTCTGCCGCTCACAGCTTTTGTGTCGCACCCTTCAGCTCAGCAGGGTGAGGGGCGCTGTCTTCTTCAGCAGGGAGCTGTGTGTGAGCCCGGGAAGCAGGGGTGACGTCCTGTTAACAGTGTAGTCCACGTTCTCACTCCGGTCCCACTTGTCAGAGGGAACCATCAATAACAGTTCTGCGTATTTGCTTTTTTTTTTTTAAGAAGCAATGGGATCATCCTCTATAGATTTTTTTTTTTTACTGAATATATTTTACATTTTTCTGTGTTGAGAGAAATGAATAGATAGATAGATGATAGATAGATAGATTCCATTTGTTGAGCTGCAGAGAATTCTCTGGTTGACTGATTAGCTAGACTCCTACTGAATGTTGAATGTGGTTTGCTTCCAGTTTTTCACAAGTATGAACAATGTTGCAATGAACATCTGTGAGGGTGTGTTTAGGACAGCCTTTAGAAGTGGAATCAATAGCTTAATCAAAGGCTTATGTGCCTTTAAATGGAGAACAGATTCTGCCACATTGCCCACCAAAAGGGGGCACCAACTACAGCCCCCCAGCCCTGCCCCAACTTGTAGGAGTGTGAGTTTCTCCATATCCTGCTCTAAGGGGTTAAATTCCAAACAAAACCCTTTTTAAAATAGCACCAGGGGCTCTTGGCCACAAAGGAGCCTTTGCTCTGGAACCGGAGGCCGGAACCCCCGCAGCACCTTTGCCTCAGACCTGCCTCCACTCACCGTTGTGGGCCAGAGTGGCCGGGAGGGGACAGGGAACTCTTTTACAAAACTGCCCAGAGTGAGGCCACAAGTGCAATGAAGGAATCATCCCTGGCTTTGTTTGGTAAACGTGGAGGCAGTGGAACCAGGATTCTGTTTAGGAGTGGGCTGAAGGGGTACCAAATGCAGGATTACTTTGCTCCCACAAAGAAAGAGACGCAGGCCTGAGGAGGTGAGGGGGAAGAAAAGGCAGGGACCCTGTCTGAAGGGCTTCCTCTCGTATCCCCAAGGCCTGGTCCACCCCAGGAACATAGCAGGCAGTCACACATGTAATGGATGAATGAATGAGTGTCAGTGAGTGAATGGATGGGTGGATAAAGTCTTGCATCCTGGGTGTGCAGGACGGCGAGGGCTGAGCAGCAGAGAGGCGCAGCAGATGTGGCGAGCTGCTGGGCTGACTGTGCCCAGCCCATTGCCCTATTTTATTGGGAGGCCCTGGAAGGAGCCACTTGTGGGTATGCACTGGGGCCCCGGCGTTCAAGGTCAGACCTTGGCCCTGGAGGCGGTCTGCTGCCCACCACGCGGCTCCAGAAGCGCCATCTCCCAGTTCCTCTTCTCGCTCGGTCAGACTCTGAAGGACTTGATCCAAATCCCACTCTTCAAGTTGCTGAGATAAGTAAAGTGGTGATTATGAGGCTGCTGTGGGGTCCCAGGGACAGGAGTGCCAGATTTCACAGCTGCCATGACCCACACAGGCAGTTCTGGGATGTCTTGGGCAGAAACCAGGGCTGAGATGAGGCAGCTCGCTCACCCACCCCGTGTGGGTTGCAGAATGAACTTCCTCCGTGAAGGCTGGTGAGGCCGCCTACCTTCCTACGCAATAGTTTTATTTCTGGCACAAAGACGTTGTCTGACTTGGAGGAAACTCAGTGTCGTATTAAAACTTTTTAGGTTCATGCAGGTTTAGAATGTTGGGAGGTTAAAACGTTTTGCTCTTTTAAGAAACAGATTGTTCCAGGCAGGTGCTAGGACTGGAGGGCCTGGAAGACGGGTGTGGAGGCGGTGGTGTGATGAGGGGGGAGGACGTTAATCAGGAATTATTATGTCTTGTGTATGGCCTTGCAGCTCCTTGTAGCCCCATAGGGGAATGAAGATAAAGGGGTTCAAGGAAAGAATGGAATTGATAGGATAGAATTGGTGAAAGTGACCTCCATGTACACCTTGATGCCAGTTTTCTCTAAGTTGTTAAGAAAATTTGTCAAATAAGGCAAAAAAGAGTTTTGTGATGTTTTAGTGTCATGCGGGAGCATCTTCTAAGGAGCCCATCTTTCTAGGGGAGGGCTGGTGTGCACAGTTGACCAGGGCTCACCTGTTTGACAACTTCGTAAAACTGAGAAGTGTGACGGTTTTCTTTTCCGTCCATTGGAGCAGCTAACCCCAAAGGTACCAGTTCTGTTGCCCTGTAAGTGCTGACCTATTGTACTTAATGTAGCAATTTAATCTCTGCGTTCCTTCCCCCCTCCCCACCCCCCACCATGTACAAAATCCCAGTTTCTCATAATCCCTTTGAACCGGCTTTGTCATCCTGCTGGTTCCCTTGTTAATGAGCTAAATACAGGGGCTCACCATTTGTATGAGAACAAGGGCTTGATGTGAGATTACACTTTGTCAAATCTGTTACCTATCTCATATATCTTCATGATCATGCTTGGGTTTAGTATTCTTTTTTCTTTGTTTAAAGAAGGCTGGGGTCTCCTTGCTCTTCCTTGTTCACTTTAACTCTGAGGATGGTCTGTCAGATAGGTAGGACTGCCTGCCTGATGATGGGCCTGGTGCCATGGGCCTAAGGTTGTTGCTATAGACTGAATCTCTTTGTCCCTCCAAATTCATGTGTTGAAATCCTAACCCCCAATGTGATGGTATTTGGAGGTGATTAGGTCATGAAGGTGGAACTCTCATGAATGGGATTAGTGCCCTTAAAAAGGAGACCCCAGAGCGCTCCCTCACCCCTTACAAATGAACCAGGAAGCATGCTCTCACCAGACACCAAATGTGATGGAGCCTTGACCTTGGACTTCCAGCCTCCAGACTGTGAAAAATGAATTTCTGTTGTTTAAGACCCCCAGTCTATGGGATTTTTGTTACTGTGGCCCAAAGAGACTAACACAGGCATAGTGGGCCAGCCCTCGAGTTGGCCTGGGGAGGACCATTGCCCCGGGGAAGGCTGGGCTAGGGGGATGCCTACCTGGAGGGAGAGCAAGGGCGGTCCCCGCTGGGGCCCCTGTGGCAGTGTTTCCGCAGCATCACAGGGCATCTCCTTCACTCCACTCAGGTCTTGGCAGGCTGGGTCCTGGGCATCCCAGGTGACTTTGTGAAGTATGTCTTTCTCGATCATCTTCCTTCTCTCCCTCCGGAGGGCTCTGCGGTTTGCAGAGTCTGAGCCCTCCTGGGCCCATGAGGCAGTGCCTGGGGGCTCTGTCTGCAGGCCTGCTTCCTGAGGGGAGAGAGTGGCCTCTCCCTGTGGCCCCTGGCAAGGACTCTGTGATGTACTGGTGTTGAAGGCTGTGTCCCCATCGTCATCCTGCCACGTGGGGGTCTCCACAGGCATCCTGAGAAGAGAGCTGCTCTCATCACAGCTCTGCAAAGGCCTGCCAGGGGCCCTTCCTTGCAGAGAGACTGACTCCTGGGCCTGGGGCCCAGCGTTCCACTCTCCCCAGGGTTCCCCGGCGGATTCCACAGGCACTACAGCTGGCTACAGGGGAAACAAGCGTCCTCGGTTAGCAGCCTCAAAACATACCTCGGGGAGTTTTTGTGTGCGGTAAGATGTGTATAGAACATAAAATCTGCCATGTGAACCATTTTTTTGTTTGTTTGTTTGTTTGTTTTGCGGTATGCGGGCCTCTCACTGTCGTGGCCTCTCCCGTTGCGGACCACAGGCCCCGGACGCGCAGGCTCAGCGGCCATGGCTCACGCTCCGCGGCATGTGGGATCCTCCCGGACCGGGGCACGAACCCGTGTCCCCTGCATTGGTAGGCGGACTCTCAACCACTGCGCCACCACGGAAGCCCCATGTGAACCATTTTTAAATGTACAGTTCAGTGGCATTGAGTATATTCATCATGTGGTGCAGCCATCACCACTGTCTATTTACAAAGCTTTTTCATCACCCTGAACAGAAACTTTGTACCTCCCCTCCCCCAGCGCCTGGTAAATGCTCATCTACTTCTTGTCTCTATGGGTTTACCTGTTCAAGATATTTCATAGGCGTGGAATCACACAATATTTGTCTCTTGTGTCCTTCCATTTAGCTTAGTGTTTCCAAGGTTCGCCCATGTTGCGGCATGTGTTAGAACTGCATTCCTTTTCATGGATGAATAATATTCTGTTGTATGGATGGTCCTCATTGTGTTTAACCATTCTGTCTGTTGATGGATACTCAGGTTGTTCCCCCCTTTTGGCCATTGTGAACAGGCACACAGCAGTTAGAGGTGGACAAGATGAGACCCAGGCCCTTTGTCTCCAGAGTGAGCCCACGGCCTCAACCCCTGTGAGTTGCTACAGACTTTCCCATCCCAGGTTAAAAAATAATTGTCCAGAAGAGTTGCCGAGGTAATTGTAGAAATGAAGAAAACACAAAATAAAGTGACATGGACATGGTTCCAATTGAACTAATCAGGGGACTTGGCAGCCCTGGCAATTCTCCTGTTTGAGGTTATTTCAGATATATTTCTAGGCATGGCTGAGGGTGTGGGTGGTTTCTGTCATGGTGCTGGGAGGGGACACGCCCTGGCTCCGTAAGATGACCCTGTGTCAGTGCTTGCACTCAGAACTGCAGAGTCTTGGCATGTACCCACTCCGTCCAAATACCAAACTCCAGCATAGCTTCTGGCAGCGTAAGCCTGTGCCCCTAGGATTACCCCAGCGCCCCATTAAAATGCCTGCCTGAGAAAGCTCCATGCTGCCAGGAGAATTTATTATTTGTTCTAGCCAACACCTGATGATAGGCCCCTGACCTCCCTTTCTTAGAGCACTTACTAAAAAAGTCTTATAATTGTGAATATGTGTCTCTTACAACCCAGAAGCATCTGTCACTGACCTGAGAGCCGTTCCCTTGAAATATACTCATCAGGAAGGACAGGGCCTCTGCCTCCCTTCTCTGTGGGAGGATAGGCTCCTGCCTCCCACACCTGCCAGGCAGCAGACACACCTGGCCTAATTGCAGCTTCACTGACCGGCTCTTCGTGACTTTTCACTTTTCTGACTCCACTGAGCCCTCCTCACCCCCTCCCTCAGTCTTCCTTTGAAACACCCGTCACCTCTGCACAAATCAGATGGAGCTCAGCTCTTTCCCCTGCTGTCAGTAGTTACCGAATAAAATCTCCTTCCACTGCTTTAACTAAGCATCAAGCCATTAACTTTAGATGTAAGAGTTCTTGGTCTTACCTGAGACCCCGGGAAATGGGGAGACAATAGGATGGAAAATTCCCTCTGACATTTGGCAATGACCGCAACTACAATACTTAATTCTGAGCGTTCTGTGGCACTTGCTAATTGTTTTCTGTATTCATCTTACCTTCCCAGCGAGGGGCACCTCTTACCTCTGAATCCCCACTGTTGCCCTTATTCAATCAACAAATGTTTAGGGAGGGCAGGATTTTGTGAGAAGCCAGATAGTGCTGAAGCCAGCTGGGTTAAAGGAGGCATTTATGACAACAAATTGTGACAATGGTCAGAGAGCTCAGGTGGAAATAGGACAGCTGGGAGGTGTGTGTGTGCGTGTGTGTGTGCGTGTGTGTGTGTGTGTGTGTGTGTGTGTGTGTGGTGAGGGGTCAAAGGGAAGAGCAGGGAGCAAAATCAGATAGAAAATCTCATCCCCACCCCCAGCTCTAAGTGTTCTGGGCTCCTGGGAGCATGATGTGCACAAGGCCATTAGATATTTGGTGTCTGAACTCCTTGGGTTATACCTGGAGAAAGGCTTGGGTGTGCAGAGATGCTATACCAGGGGCTTTAACCTCTTTAGACCCACATTGCTGTTAGAGTCCAGCGAGGGCCATGGACACCCAGACCCACACCCACACCCTATTGTGCTTAAAGGGTCCTGGCTTCATGGATCCCTGGATCCTGCATTCCACAGACCTCAGGAGGAGACCCAGAGGAAGTGACCCAGGCCCCGTCAGGGTCTTCGGCCAGTTCTTCTGACAAGTCTGGAATCAGGGAGGTTTGATTTCGCTGGAAGATGAACAGCTCCTCTTCCTCGCAGTTTGACTGTGGACAAATGAGAGTTCTCTGGATTATATGGCAGCAGGCAGGGCCAGGTGCACCTCAGCTTCCACCCACCCTCCCTTCCCCGCTGCTCTCCAGCTGTCTGGGCAGACCAGTTCTCTTCCGAAGGGACTCGCCATGGCTGGTTCCTGCCGCTGACTTAGAAATGGGCTTGGCAGCACCACCTGGTGAAGGTGAGATCCAGGGCTCCCAGTTCTGCACGTACCTGCCACCCCTAAGACTTTGCGTACAGCAGCTGCTCACTTAGTGCCTGGCACTAAATGAACAGAGCAGTGAGGTGACAGCTGAAAGAGCAGAGTCTGGGCCTCCCCGTACCCTGCAACAGGGAACCTTGGTGCTTCACTTACATGACATTGAGCTGATAAGCTCCAAAGCGGTCCTTGGTCGGCATGATGTTTGTCACGGGAAGAAAGGGCATTGGGGGCCTAGGAAGATGTAGGAAGAAGGTGCTTGCTTACCGAGGAGGAATCTGAGTCCAGAGATGGGAGCTGCTCCTTGACGGCCTCAAGGATGGCGTCCCAGGGATTGGGCAGTAAGGGCTCCACATCTTTGTCATGGGATGCCATGGGATGCTTCTCAGTGTGCCATCATCCAAGGAACCTTGCTGAGGACATGGAGTGAGGTGAGAGGGTCCAGGAGCAAAGGGTCAAGAGCTCAGGGGGCTGCCTTTTCAAAGCATATACCATCTCTTGCCTTGGGGGATGAAAACAGATTGGGAGGCCACCCACCCCTTCTTCCTTCTAGTCTGCAGGTTCCTGTTACTGAGGGCCAGGCACTGTGCCCTGCATTGTGTGTGTGTGTGTGTGCAAGTGTGTATGTGTGTGTAGTGCAGTATGGAGCCTGCAGATGTATGTACATAGTGATATTTTATGATAATATATAGATATATGTATTGATATATAATGATATATGTACTTGATGTGTAGGTATATGGATGATATACAGAATGATACATGTATATGACATACAGATATTTGTAAACTATGTATATCCCATACAACAGACACTATTATTATCTACATTTTATAGGCTGAGATTATATCATTAGTAAAGACAAAGACAGAATTTGTATCAAAGTCAGAGGGGATTTCAAGCCCCACTACTCTTTACTGCCTCCTTACAAAGGAACAGACTAGAGACATTTTGGAGTCCCGCGGACACATTTTTTGGAGTTGACACTCAAATTAACCCCTTATACCCAGGCACTTAGGCAACACGTCCCAGAGTCTAACAGAAGGCCCGGTCCCTCAGGGGTCAAGGGGGCTTAGAAATGTGGGGTGATGGTACTTCAGAGCCAGTGTCTGGAGAGTACTTGCAGCCTGAGAGCCCTCTGTAACCATAAAATGGGAAAAGAACACTCCTGCCCCAGCCCTGGTTCCCATCAGGAAAGCAGCAGGTGAGTGGGGGCTTCTTACTTCTGTGCTCACAGGAGTGGGGCAGGAGCTTGGTGCACCTGACCTGGGAACAGCAGAGTGGGGACATATCTGGTATATACGTCACGGGATGTTCTCCGGCTGCAGGTCAGGTCAGAGGGCAACAGAATCACCCAGGTGAAGGGGACTACCAGAGACTCTAAGTCCTCCAGGAGGACAAGGCAATAGGGGAGGGAAAGGCATTACAGGCTGCGGGAAGAGCACGTAAGAGCTCAGAGGAGTGAAAAGTGCCCAACATGTGTGGGAAGAAGTTTTCAGTTGCTGGAATATACGGTGCAAACGGACAAGATCGTGAAGGGTCCTGAACGCCAAGTTGAGGAGCTTGGCTCACCCAGCAGACGAGGTTTACGCTAAACACTGCACGAAACAGCAGCTCCCTCCGAATCCTGACTGCCTCCACGTCCGTTTCTTGGCTGCAGCCCGTTAGCCCCGCCCAAAGCTCCGACGCCCCACCCCTTCCTGCCGCCGGTCAGCCGGTTGTTATGACAACTAGACGCCAAAGTCCTCCTGGGTCAGGCTTTTAAATTCTAAAGGTCGGAAACAGGAAACCCATCGTGCGTCCTCCCACCGATCCCCAACTCGTTTCCCCAGCCCCCACCCCGTCCAACTCCCAACATTTATCTCCGCAGCTGCGGCAAGCCCGAGGCCGTTCACCTCGGCCTCAGCCTCCCCGCCTGGCGTGGTCCAGACAGGGATATAAACAGGCTCCAGCGCGTCCCTCCGGTCGTGTTCTCCCCTTTGGGCCGCGGCGTAATTACTGAGGCTGTCGCTGCCTTCGGAATCCCCGCTTAGCAGAGTATTATACTACGGCACTGCCAACTCCTTCCCACCCCCCGCTCTTCTTTCGGGGCTTGGAGCGTCCTGTCTCTCCTGAAACTCCATTGGTTTCCCTGGCCAGCGGAGGGGCGCGGTAGGGCGAAATCCCCCTGCTCATTGGATGCCGCCGACGTCACACACCGAGCTGGGCGGGCTGACCGGAAGGTCCAGGTGCGGGACGGACGAATTCCACAGCGCCCGGGGGACCCGCGAGCGTCCCGGCGTGCTCCGCGCCTCTCGCAACCACTTCCGGGGCGGGAGCGGGGCCGCTGGGTCCGCGCGCTGTGGTGGAGGCCGGCGCGGAAGCACCCCGGACGGGCGCGGCCGAGGGAGCGAGGCGGAAAGTGGGCAGGGGTAGGCGGCGGCGGCGGCGGCGGCGGCGGCGGCAGCCCCAGGGCTGCCCGCGGCCCGAGGTCCAGCGCAGGTAGGCTCCGCGGCGGCCCTGCCCCGCCTGGTGTCCTCACCTGCTGCGCACTCTCGGGGCGTCACAGCAGTGCCGCTGGCTCGCCGCTTGAGTTTATGACTCCGAGCGTCCGCTTTGCCGCTGGGGAGCGGGGACGATAAAGCCACGTGCGGTGTAGGGTTACTGGGAGGAGGTGTCAGTGCTTGGGTAGTTCCCTAGGTTACCCTCCCCAGGGCCTGAGAATGAGGTTGGGATACCTGGGGCCAGCGGAAGGCCTACGCCCCGGTGCGGGACGCGGTGCCCTCCGGCTTTCACAGACCTCCTCCCTGTGGACGCCACGGTCAGCAGCAACGTCATTTTTTTGTTGTTAATTTTTTGTTTTGCTTTAAAAGTAACGAATACTTAGCATTTGACAGAATGGACAGAACACAAAGGTAAAAGGAAAATCAAAGGGTTGCGTTCCTAGTGCTACTTCCTGGAAATAAATCCTGGAAGCGATATGCAGAAGATTTTCTACAAGTATACGTGATGTATGTGTGAATACAATTTTGTTCGTAAGGAGTACCCCATCATCGTAGAGCATCTGGCATGCGGCAGGGTGATAAAGGAAGTAATAGTATTGGGTTGGCCAAAACGTTCTTTCGGGTTTTAAGTAAAAGTAAAAGACATATTTTTCATTTTCACCAAGAACTTTATTGAACAACGTATTCAGTGTTTCGTTCTACTACTTTCTGCCATTTTTCAGGTAGCTTCATAATTCCATCTTCCCAAAACTTCTTATCTTTTGAGCAAAGAACTGTTCCAGATGCCTTTTAGTCTTACAGGGAATTGAAATTTTTTCCCAGTATGAGAATTTTGTAAAGACTGAAATAAATAGAGATCTGAAGATGCGATGTCTGGTGAATATGGTGGATGAATCAGAACTTCGTAGCCAAGCTGTAACAGTTTTTGCCTGGTCATCAAAGAAACACATGGTCATGTGGTATCCTGATAGAAGATTATGCGTTTTCTGTTGACTGATTCTAGACGCTTTTCATAGAGTGCTGCTTTTAGTTGGTCTAATTGGGAGCAGAGCTTGTAGGAATTAATCGTTTGGTTTTCCAGAAGGAGCTCAAATAGAGGACTCCCTTCCAATCCCACCATATACACAACATCACCTTCTTTGGATGAATATCGGCCTTTGGTGTGGTTGGTGGTGGTTCATTTCGCTTGCCCCACGATCTCTTCCGTTCCACATTATTGTACAGTGTCCAGTTTTCATCGCCTGTCACAATTTGTTTTATTTTATTTTTTTTATTTTGTAAAAATGTTTATTTACTTTTGGCTGCATCAGGTCTTAGTTGCGGCGTGTGGGATCTTTCATTGTGGCACGTGGGCTCTGTAGTTGCATCATGTGGGCTCTTCAGTTGTGGTGCACGGGCTTCGTTGCCCTGTGCGGCATGTGGGATCTTAGTTTCCCGATCAGGGATGGAACCTGCATCTCCTGCATTGGAAGGCAGATTCTCAACCACTGGACCACCAGGGAAGTCCCCACAACTTGTTTTAAAAATGGAACGTTTTAGTTAAGTAGAGAATCACGTGTGGAAATACAGTCAAGAAGGTTTTATTCGCTTAACTTACGTGGAACATCAAAGCAATTAACATAACCAAGCTGGTGCAAATGATTTTCAGTGCTTGATTTGGATATTTTGAGTATGTCGGCTATCTCCCACGTGGTATAACGTTGATCATTCTCAATTAATGTCTCGATTTGATCACCATCAACTTCAACTGGTCTACCTGACCTTGGAGCATCATCCAGTGAGAAATCTCCAGCATGGAACTTCTCAAACCATTTTTGACATGTTCGATCAGTCACAGCACCTTTTCCATACACTGCAGCGTTTCGGTTGTGTTTTTACCTTTCTTGAAATAATAAAGCATGCTGAAAATGTTGCTTTTTTGTCTTCCATCTTCATTGTTAAAATGGCTACACAAAAATTCACCTATTTTGATAAGTTTTGTGTTGTTTTTTTTTGCGGTACGCGGGCCTCTCACCGCTGTGGCCTCTTCCGTTGCGGAGCACAGGCTCTGGACGCGCAGGCTCAGCGGCCATGGCTCACGGGCCCAGCCGCTCCGCGGCATGTGGGATCCTCCCGCACCAGGGCACGAACCCGTGTCCCCTGCATCGGCAGGCAGACTCTCAACCACTGCGCCACCAGGGAAGCCTGATAAGTTTTTTTTTAAATGCACGCTGATATGGCAGCTGTCACAATACAGTCTAACAAAATTGTTTCAAATGAAGTTAAAGACAACTAAGTGCTACTAGAGCCATCTTATGGAAAAAAACCAAACGAACATTTTGGCCAACCCAATAGCTTTATGGTTTCTTGGCATCCGAGTTCTCCCTCCATGGGCTTCTGGAGTGGGGGTCTGATTCTGATTGCCGCTCAGCGTTCTGGAAGGTGTCAGACAGGTGAGCCTCCAATAAAAGGAGAGAGAACATGGGTCCCACCCTGGAGGAGGCATTTGGAGTAGAAGAAACACACCCAAAGAAGGCTTGAGGGGTGTATTGAAAGGAGTGCTGAACTGACAGTCAGCTTATTTGAATTCTTATCCAGGCTCTGTGGCCTGGACTGTTCAGCTTGGGGGTTCCCACCTGAAAATTGAGAGAGCTGATTGTTCTCAGGCCCTGCCAGTGTGGACAGGTGGTTCCAGGAAGCAGGGCTTTGCCCTGAACTTCGTTACACTTACTCTGGCCAGGGGCCGACAGATTCTTTGTCCCCCAAATTGGTGGCTTGTTTGTTGTTTGGCCATCTTGGCTGTATCTCATGCTTGGAAGCATTTGTTAGTAGAGGTTGATGTGCTAATGGCATCTGTGAACTGCTGTGGTACCTTTAGGCCATCTGAACATGAAGTGGTTTTCTTTGTTTTCTCCTTCTCTTGCTTTTCTACACCTTGGTCTTTGTTCTTTCCCCCCAGAGTAGAACAGGAGACAATTGTCACTCCAGAACTAAGGGTTCTACTAGGAAGCTGATGACTTGGGCTTGATGGGTTAGGATTCCTAGAATGAAGGGCTCTTCATCCTGCTGTTGTCCCATCTTGGGGAAAGTGTCACCCAACAAATTAACCAGTCTATCCCATTCCC